TTCGATTTTTTCGGTAAAATATTGGAGTCATTTAGAAAACATTCGTACGTATCACACGCCATGTTTCCGACCTACGTTCGGTGAAAGTTCGCCGACCCGTCGAATCTTCGTTTTCCGAAAAAATGTGCCCAGCTACCTGGTGCACACATCGATCCATCACGTGACCAGTGTTTCATACCTTGTCACAGATTAGTATGTACTCGCGAGGCGCGAGATCGTGACGTAACACCACAGGTAACCCGAATTTTTCTAAGACCACGCGCCGATATAATAAAAGCGTGCGCATTCGTTCTTTTCTGTBTCTAATGCAATAGTTGGGCGGCCTATGGATATACCTCAGGAAAAGATCTCTAGTTTCAACTAATCACTCATTCAAGAAAGCTTGCTTTAACTGCATATATGCATAAACCTTTAGCTTACTTAAATCCTTAATTTATAGCTCAAGTAAAAATTATCGCGCGCCAATAATAGTACCACAGGTAACCCAGGCTCAATAACTAAGTATAAAATATGTCGTTCTTACAAGAATATCTTTTCCTTAAATGATATTATTCTAGCATAAATAAAACGTCTCTTATTTTTGATATGCCATTGTTTCACCTACTTATATTAATACAAAATAAGAGAGTATTCTAAAATCGAATTGTGTGATTTCTAACAAAAGGCAATAAACATTTTGAATCTACGGGGGACATTGCTCAACAATTGCGAGACGAGGCGGGGGAGGGTAGAATCGAAAGCAACCAATAGGCCGTCAGCCGCTCTCGCAGGAATAACTCTCTCTACATAATTTAAAGCCTTAATAAAACACTACATACGTTAAAAGGTCGTTACACTATTTCTACTATCGCCCGTGCTTGTGATAGGGTGGGTATAGTCAAATTATTAAATAAATTGCGTGCGCTTTTGTAAAGCACCAGTCAATATGGTGCACATGAGTGGCTGAGTGAACTGTGTTGTTACGTATGAATCCCTGGAAGCAAAAGTGTAAATTCGTCGACATAAGATCGAACATTAAAAAGCACTTGGCTGACTTTTTTTCCCACAAACTACACAACCACTCTTTGACCTAACAAACTCGGTAGAAATTATAAACAATGAAAGCGAAGCAAGAAAGAGTAC